TGTTTCTGTCTCTCTCAAAAGTCTCAAGTGCTGTGGTCTCCCCTGGTTGCCACGACAACAAAGGCCTGCCTGTGAACACGAACACACACACACACACACACACACACACACACACACACACACACAGCGAGCTACAGAGGAGTATTAAGGTTTTACCAGAGCCCGTCTACGGAGAGCCTGGCCTCTCTCTATTAAGTCCCATTGTACCGAATACTGGTTGCAGTTCCAGCAGAGGTCCACTGGGGGCGCTCTCCCATCAGTGCAGAATGAATGGGAGCAGATGGAGCTAGACGGCTACATTTGTCTCTTTCACCTGATTGTGGTTGAGAAATCTCAGATCTGATTGTAGTTTTTGCAAGTTCAACATGGGTTATAGGTCGAAAGCTGAATGAACGAGTTCTGATGTCCTTTAGATTTCTTACAGGACGAGTTGTTGTTGCCCATAACGCGCTAGCATTCTGCTAATGAACGCTGATTGGTCAGTGAAGGACTGATTACGACCAGAGATCCCGCTCGATGGCATCATGGCATCCGAACCGGGACCACAATGTTAAGGCAGATTTTTAACAGCAACTTTTTTTGTGTTGCTGGTACTTTTATCTGCCTATCGTTACGTCTGTGTCGTCGATGCCTCGAGAGAAAAGGAAGCACAAAGAGACTCGGGGCTCGCCGTAAAGCGGTATCTCTGGCCGTACGATGTGTATGACGTCACTGACATTTTAAAAGACTTTTTAAAGAAAATAAGTGACTCTAACAAATCTAACACCCAGCAATGTGTAATTTCTTTGCCTTTCGAATGCAACATTCAAATTACTAGACAAACAATGATATCCTGAGAAAAGTGGATTTTGAGGGTATAGCTCCATAGAGCTCCATTCATTCTGCACTCATCCTGTGAGCGCCCTCACATGGAGCCAGAGGGGAACTGCAACAGTTCAGAACCCAGAAATTTACAGAGAGTGGAAGTTCTCTCATTATTAGACGTTCTCTGGCATTAATAAGCTAGTGTTAGCTGGCTGGCTAAAGATAATTAGAAGGTATTAGAAGGCTGGCTAGCACATAACTGTAGAAACACAAGAAAAAAAACTCATCATATCTCAACAGTCTTCTGGTCAATTCAGAATCAATATAATACATAAATACAAACTTTTTGGTCGACTTTGTCGCATCAACTCGTGACCAGCCTCACTATTTCAGTGGGAGAAGACCGTGGCAATAGATGGAAAAAACAAGATTTGTCATTAAAATACGTGGTTGTTAGTGGATCACGCGTACGCCGAATTAAACATTGTACTGTAAACTACTCGGCAGTGTCAGTAATGTATGGGCCAGAGTCACGGGCCAGAGCAAGGCACAATCAAACTTTCTTTAGGAATTTTCTAGTTGTGTTCACTGTTTGGGTTCATTGTTCAGTTTATCAGCTGTTCTCTGCTGTTATTGTTATTATTCAATATAATATGAAATAGGAAAGAGCAGTCCTCCATATATTCACATGTCAGTGTACATGTTGGTCGTACCTGTCTTGGGGGCTGATTCTGGGGGGCGTGGCTAAGCCATTTTCCAACGCCCATCTATGGGACCAAGACAATACCTTAGCCTTCGCCATGACTGAATTTTGTGCAAAGTTTCATGAGTTTTAAGGCATGTTTAGACCCCCAAAGTGTTCAAATGTTAACGCAAAAGCTGCGCCATGGCAACAACGTTCCACGCAAATCCTTAACATTCATAAGATGTCATCGGCATCGTCCTAAGGGACCGCTGACAGAATTTCAGCTGGATCTGGTCAATCTGCGGGAAGATATAAATAAAAGTATAAAAATGACATTTCCTTTCACCACTAGGTGGCGCTGTCACTATGGATTTATAAGTAGATTTCAGGTGGATCTGATCATTCTGCGAGGAGTAGAACATGAAAGTATGAAACGTGATACCTCCTGTTGGCACTAGGTGGGGCTCTCACTATATCTGAATATTATCATATAGACGTGTTCAGGGCGGGACTCTTATCAAACACGTGAAGTTTCGTTGAGATTGGACCATGTACGCAGAAGTTCAAATCCCTCTTTCATGGTGAAGGTTCAAAATTTGATGCCACGCGCACAGTTCACTAGAATATTCACTTCAAATGTCTCTTCTGTTCATTTTAAACAACATCAGTAAACATCCCAGTTTGTCACAGAACAAAAGCAACTGAGCTGATGCTCGCCACCCGCCTCCTCTTCAGATGGCTGACAAAGGAAGTGCTGGCAGAATCAGAGAGCTTAAAAGGGGTTGGGTCGATAATCGGGCTACACCATGTTGGCTGGAATCATGGGGAGACGCCGTGCTTTCTCCTTGTTGAGTTTAGTTATTTCTGATTATTATACTTTTTGATGTTTAGTATTTCAGTATTTTCCTTAGTTCATATTTGGCTGCATTATCTGGATATTATTTGAGGTTATTATGGTTTGTTTAAATGTTGTGTTTTAGTCTATTCCCCCTGTGTGTCAGAGTGGCCTGATCAGCCACTATTTAAGTTTCCCCAATGTCTCAGTTTAGTTAGGGTCATCTAATGTACCACACTCCAGTTCGGTAGGTGGCAATGCGCCTATAAGCTTGATGCCTGCCGCCAAACAAATCTAAAAGAAAGAAAAAAGAAAAGTTTAGTTAGGTCGGTTTGGTTGGTTGGTTTAGTATGTTCAGTTTGTTCAGTTAATGTGGCCTGAGTTAAGTTCTGTTTAGTTGACCTCTTTTATGGGCCCAGAACATTTTGTATATTTTGTAAATTGATTATTTTTCGTGAATAAAATTACTTTTTGTGAACATTTACCCTTGACTCCTCATGCCTGCCAGCTCAGTCCCTGACAGAGACACACCCACACCTGGTGCACTCAGTCTGCTGCCTTCAGGCTGGGAGACACACCCACACCTGATGCACTCAGGCAGGGAGGGGCGCGGCCTGCAGCTCAACTCAACACCCACTACAACCCAGTTTGCTCCATCTGTCGGTCGCTGACAATAAGTAGATCTATACAGAACACAATCAGGTACATTCAATATTTACTGAATAGAATATGTTCTATAAAATCTTAATATGAGTCAATATTTACTACAAGAAATTGCAAATTATATTTCTATGAAAAAATAAGAGAATACAACATTTAGCTTTGGCTCTGCTGCCTGTAAATGAGTCCAGTCCTCACAATATCATACAATTAGCTTTGGCTCAATGTACATGTGAGCCTGTGGCTGGAAGTCTCACACTAACTGCATCAAACTGGACCCCCCAGGTTTCCTTCTGTACGTTTAAAAACTAAAACACTACATGGTTTGGCTGAATATTTGATGGTTCTTATTTACTGAGAGATATGGATCCATCTGGCCCAGTGTGCCCAGCAAATCAACATTTTAAATCCAGTGTCAATCCATTGCTTTCCATCTTGCATTAGTTCAGAGCTCTAACTGAACCTCCACTGAGAGACTAAATAATCAGTCTAGTTTGAAAATGATGTGTGAGTATGAGTGCCATCACACCCACAGGTTGTCTGGACTGGTCCGCACACAGGTTGCTGCTGGAGAGTGCCACTTTCATTTGGTGCCCGCCCATATGAACACATGTTATTACACCCACTGACACATGGAGGGGAGACGGGGCCCCTGCGTGATTTGCAGGCTCCTACGCATAAAGTCTAGTGAGCATATAGGGCCGACTGGCTCTGCTGGTTCCAGTGGGAAGCGAATGAACAGGATAAAGGAGACACAAGGATGCGGAGAAGCAGCGTGATGGCTTAGAGGTTAGCACCGTCCCCTCACAGCGAGAGGCCAGCCGTGGATAGTTGTAACACGCTGACAGCCAATGAAACTGCACGATTTTATGGTCCGCTGTCCATGGTACTGAACTGCTGCACTATTTATTCAAAATGTCACAAGTTACATTCAAATCTACATAACTTCAGTCTAAAGTATGAAAATCCTTTTTGTATTTATGTATTGAGAATTTTATGGAACAATTATAGTATCAATATAATACGTAATATTACAGTGAATTATATTTGTAATAAAGACTGATATTCTTTAGCATTCAAAGATGAATTAAATACTATTATTCATAATGGAAATGAGCTGACCAGAGCTTTATAGATGAAATCAAGTGAAACAAGTTCTGTGCTAAAAGTCATTGTTTTATTAAATCTGTCCACACGTGTCTTCAGTGCAGTTTAGAGAGTGCTAAAACAAGAATAAACAACATATCAATCAGTTTTATATCCAATAATCAATTATAAATATATACAAGGAAACAACTAAATCAATCAGATTAATCAGTTGTAATTTCACAGAATGCAATGCTCCGTGGTCGAACGGCGTTTATGTTAAAGGACATTGTGAAGCCTTTAATGATTTAAGCCGTTAATCATGATATAATTGGTATATGAATTCAATTCAGATTTGTTTTATTACAAACGGCAGACATGTAGTTATGATACAGGATGCCTTCGTACATTCAAAATGTGAGCTTTGATATTAAAATACTTTATGCAGATAGTAACAGTCCTGGTTATGTGCTCTATTCAAGTCAGTCTATGGTCACTGTGGTCTTTCTGTGTGTGGGCTATAAATTTAATGGTACATTTTGCAAATTAAACTAATTATTTTCTATAGGTTTACTAACTGGTAAAATCATGTATTTTGTGATAAAATACAACATATCTAATGTGTATTTCCAACATAGCTTGATCCTGCATCTCTATTTACAGCTCATTAACCCTTACGTGAATGTTTACTGTTGCTATGGCAACAAGTGACAGCCTACATTATCAGCTACATTTGCCCAACAACCCATAAAATCACAATTCGGCATATTTAAACAAAATAAACCACATCTACCAACAGTTACACCCCTTAAACTCTGAGCTAATGTGCTGTTAGGGTCTACTCGACGGCTTTGAGCCCCATGGTCCCTAATGAAAGTCTTTTTTTAGAATTTACACATTGCCTCATTGTTGTTTTCAGCCGGCGCCAACCACCTCCTAAATACATCCTCTTCCATCCACTTGTCGTTAAATTTGCACTTCCCCATCTTCTTTGCATGTTAAACCTCACCTCGACAACTGCGTAATGGTGGCACGCAGCTCTACGTCAGCGTCTGTAGCCGACGTACCGTAAAACAGCTATTAATCGTGGAGACTCTCATTTGACACAATACTAAATTAATCAACTATTAGATGTTTTACGGTGGGCCACTGTGCTTTCCCATCGTCATTAAGTGCACCGGCTGAAAATGTAATACCTACAGCAACTTTACAGTCAATTTAAGACAATATAAGACTTTTTATGGACCCGCGGGAACCCTGTAATAATAAATAAAGAATGAAATGTTAGACACTGGACCTTTGGGACAAAATGTGAAGAACAGAACAACAGATGGATAATGTATGACCTCAGCTATCTTTTTCTTTCTGCCGTCCACCCTCTCTTTCTCCATCGCATAGAACGGTGAGGCCTCAAATTCTTTCCACTTCATTTCCTTTGTCATGTATTTATGACGCAAGGACCTTAGCTGGACAGTGAATGTGTTTTCCTCCCGGGAATCCTGTGTGTGTGTGTGTGTGTGTGTGTGTGTGTGTGTCTGCTGGTTGGACCCTGCTTCAGCTCTGTGTGACAGAAACGACACATTGTTCCTCGAGGCTGAGGGTCCGGCAGTTTCCTCTTCTTTTCCGCTCTGTCTTCCACTCTGCGCTCGGTTAGCTGAAGTTCACGCTGAAAGAACTCAGTTTGTTGGGATGAGCAACCTCTGTCACCAGAACCTGCAGCTCAGGAGGAATGGTTACAGGTCTCTTCACTGTCGGCACGGTGGGACTACAAGGACAGAACAACAACCGGATGACAAAAGCATTCATCAGTAAATGTATTAAGTATTACTAATATTTCCACATGGCATAAATTACACACAAACAGATGAAACAGTACAGCAAACGTCACGTTTAAGAACACTGTTTGAGACTAAAGTGATTCTGAATGTTCAGTCAGTAGAAGAAAGAATGTACTTACAACACTGTGCCAGTTCCTTGGTGGGTGATATGCTCTTCATCGCTCTCTCCAGCTCCTCATCGTCATCATCCATCACTGTGACACAAACATAAAGAATTACAGTGCTGTAAAAATGTATTTCTACATTAGACATACATTATTGTGGTAAAAAGCATATGTTACATGTGATGAAGAAGACCTACTGGTGTCTTCATCAGGTGCACTTGAGGCAGGAACTGATGAAGAGGAGACAGAGGCCGACTGTTTCCTTATCAGCTACTGCTGCAGTCTGTACATCTGAGTCCCTGAAAACACTTAGTTCTCATGATGAAGGCAGCGTAGCCGTCAGCCCTCCTGTCCCACACCTCCCTCCAGCTGCTCTCTGGTCCACAGCCAAAGCCAACCAGCTGCTCGTCCTCTGAGGCTGCTCGAGCTTTGGGTTTTAATTGTATTTCATCCTAGCTGCGTGCAGAACCCACAAAAGATGCCATGCTGGCCTCGCTGTGCCCCTCAGTCATGTTCACTCTGGCAGCCTCTTCTTTCTGGGTGTGTTGATGAGGTAGATTGTAAAGCCTACATCATTGTCCAACAGCCACCTGAAGGATTTCCCCTTGAATTTGCTAAACTGCAAGATGTAATCCCCCCCAGCACCTCTGTGTTGTCTGTGGCACCCCCTCCTCTCTGAAGGACCACAGTCAGGGCATTTAGTTTAACTGTGTCCTCCTTTAGAGCTGCACACTCGTCCTGCAGAGAAGGGTTGTCCTTCAGAAGCTGCTTCAGTTGGATCCTGACACAGAGAACCTCAAGGTCCCTTTACGGAAAACAACTTCCATCCTCACAGGAAAGAAACTGAAAGCTTTTTCCATGCTGGCCTGTGACATACAGTATGTGGGAAACATATTTTTATATATTAAACGTCTACTTCTTCTTAAACATTAGATACTAATGGGGAACTTTTTGACCTTTAAGAACAATAAAACAGGATACATTAAATTATTTTAGCCTATAAATGTTTGAGCTTTCCTGAAGTGATCCAAAATGTACAAAATCATTACTTTTTTTCTGAATTTCTGCACCAGATGGGCTTAAATATAAACCTTAAATATAAACCTTAAATATATACCTTTCATATAAACCTTAAATATATACCTTTAATATAAACCTTAAATATATACCTTTAATATAAACCTTTAATATAAACCTTAAATATAAACCTTAAATATATACCTTTAATATATAACTTTAGGTATTTAAAGTAAAATATCACTCAGGGCTGGTCCCCATTTACAATGACGTCGAGTAACATTTTAAAATGACTACTGAAGATATATTTAATATAATATAAGATATTAAAACAGAAATAAATGTAAGAAAACAATAACTTAATTAAACATTAATAAAATATATAAGACAAAAGAAACCATGTAAAGAAACAACACGTGTCCAAGTGTGGCGCGAAAATCAAAAGCATAAACCGACTGTTTGTAATGACGTCAGAGAGTTTTGCCGCCTTGTAGTTTAAATGAATCAGAGACAAACTACAAACATCGTGATTCAACCTACAAAACTCAGAAATTCCCCGACACAAAGTACATATAAGTAATGTTTTATCTCGTGTTTATCACAACCGTTACTGACCTTCTGAAGTTTGTAGTTTGAAGACAATAAATCCAAATGTCAGGAGTAGTTGACTTCTGCATTACATCCGTAGTGGTTTAGCACTACCATAGAGAATGAATGGGAAACAGTCTGATGAAGGTGTGTTTGGTAAAAATTGTGCTTTTTCTCTGCTCTGTCTCCCTTTTTTACCACACGCACTCTTCCCAATATGAATGCACACACAGCACAAATCCTCTCACTCAAGGATAACTCCATTTCTTAACATCATCTGCCTTATACAAAACAACTACATACATTGATGATGTACACCTTCATAGAGGGAACATCAGCCAACACCCAGTAGATACATGTTACCTTGTGCTTCTCACATATGTCAGAATCATCAGAGTAAAGTAGAATTGAAAGTGTGAATTTGCACTGTTGTAAGGTTTTAACTGAATATTTAAAAAAGCACCTTCTTCTTGTCATGTGATATGGCCTTTTATTGTTCTTTATGTATCTTGGGGAGAAAACTAAAGAAATGCAGTGTATACTGTAATTACAATGATATTTTTATTTCATTTTTTTCCAAACGTTTTCAACAGAGCAAGAGCATATCAATGGGAATATGTTTCTCATTAATGCCATGTTATATTTTTGGCTGCTGCTTCACTTTGAATGCATGTTACACAGTTGAATTGTACATTTCAATTTTAATGTTAATGTTAGTGATTCATTGGTGTTAATAACAAAATAAAACATTTCATTATATATTGTATTTCAGTTGCTGCTTTGTGGTAAAAGTATATGCATAGAGAAAATGATTACATTGATTTGGTCAAATTCATCAAAACAAAATCACATTTACATAATTGTAGTGAATAATATATCTGCAGACATAGAAGGAATTTAAAATGTCAAACAGAATAAATGTAATAAAATGTACTTATTGACTTCATCACAGTAAATATCACTGATATATAAGATTTACTTTATATTTTTATGACAGCAATGTCTCGTATATGAAAATATATAATTGACTTTACTCAGTTAAACTAAATATAACTTGTAATGTAGAAATAATTAAACAACATTTACTTTATATTTTTACTAAAGTTTAGTTGAGTGGTGAGTAAATTTGACTTGATACTGGCAACTGAGTTGTACTTGATATTTCAGCAGTAATATTTACTTAAACATTGTTACAGAGATTATATTAAGTAAATCTTACCAGTTGTTTTTTTCAGTGTCCTTTCCCCCTTTCCCTTTGCATGGACAGGGAGGGACACACTGGAGATGGCCAAGGCCATCTGGCATCTACTTTTCTCCACCAAAAACCTGAGGTGGACCACACTGCACAGACCCTCCTGACAATGGACAATATTATACAAGTGTCTGATGTGATGAGAGCACTGTGTCCACCATTCACTGAGGAGGAGCATGGAGAGGAGGAAACCAACCAGCTTCCTGATGGAATCTACTTTCTCTTCCTTCCTCCCCTGCAGGTCCAAGGGCTGTATGAGGCAGAGCAGAGGGGGAAAGAGAGGGCAAGGACATGAAGAAAGGATGCTCCTCGGTTGTACACCGCTCTGCATTCATGGTAAGCTTTTCAGTTTCTATTTCACCTTTCATTTAGAGTTTTATTTGGTGGTGCACTGCCTCATCTCTTGTGTGTGGAGTTTCATCCAAGGAGCTGTGACTGTTCCTTCCTGAGCGTGCAGCACGGGGAAGGTACGCCGGGTCACCTCACTTTCCTCTCTCAACCAATAACACAACATATTCTGACTGTCAATCCCCAACAAACAGCCACCCTCCTCAGAGTCTTTTTGTGCCACCCAGACTGAGAGTTTGAACGCACGCACAAACCCTAACCGTCCTGTATCAGCAAACCACAGAGCCACTAACACCCACGTTGTTCTTTTATTTTCTGACAAATGTCTGTCTTTACTCTTCTGTTCTGTACACATTCTTTCTGTCTTTGTCCTGTTGTTCTGTATTTTGTTTCTCGTGTTAAAATAATAAAAGAAAACTCAAGAACATCCTCAGAATTTAGATCAGGCCAATGTTTTTGTCTCACTAGAATCACAGAACTATTTACAGAACAAGGTTTTTTTAATAAAAGTTGCTATATTTTCTTAAATACAGACACATTTTACACATTTGATACTTATTAAAAGTAAATTATCTGTTCTCATGTCAGCCGAGCACTCCCTCAGCCCTACTGCACAGCTTTGCACTGAACCGTGCTCCAGCATTCTTTAAACACAGTTGGTTCCTCCTAGACCGGCTCCACTGGAAGAACCACATTGGTCAGCAATGCTGTACTTTTACTGTGTGCTGGTTGAAGTGTGTATAACGCTGACAGCGATCTGCAGCACGCTATCATCAACAGCCAGCTGGCAGAGCAGTTTAATGCTCATTTGAAAGGAATCAGGCACCTCCTGCCCAAGTCTAATATTTATGCTGTCAAATGTCTCATTTCTGACTTGTTGATGTCATACATGAGTTATCTTATGAAAGGATGTCAGATGTGTTTTTACAGGTTACACAAAGCAGTTCTGTTGTGTCAAATCACACATTTGGGATTCATTGTGGTTGTTATTAATTTCACAAACCATGGTTACAGTGAGAGATACAAACTATGATGATTCAGTCTATCTAACCTGCTGCCACTCCCCGAGTGTCTCTCTCCCTCTCTCTAACTGTATGTGTGTGTGATTGCCTGAGTGCAGACAGGTTCCAGCTTCCAGTCCAACCCTCAGCCCCAGGTTCACACCCACCAGCCCAAGCTTGCCCAGGTCTGCACTCCCTCTCCCCCTCTTTTCAATAAACACTAGTTTCCTATTAAGTCCCTGTCTCCTGGAGTGTCTGCATGTGTGTTCACGAGCTCAGTCTCAACACAAACTGGTTAGGGGATGAAAAGGTGAGAAGGAGGCGTGAGCCGAGAAAATACAAAGCGGTAAGAGGGTATACTCTGGAGATTCTTTATTTTAGTTTAAAATAAGCTGCTGAATACTGATTTCTGATGACTTTAACTGGTCACAAGATGACACAGTTACAATATTCAACAAGTGAAGTAGAAAGTCTTAATTCATGAGATCAAGATTAGTATTTTTGTGTCCATGATGGTTTGAGATGTGTCACTCTGTTCTCCACTGCAGTATAATAAGAATACCTTACAATAAACTCAAAGGTACATTTAAATGCTGTTCCAGGATCAGTGTCATTACCCCAAATTTAATATTTACTGACATTAGAGAACACTTTAATTCAGTCCTGTAGCTCACACATGCCAAGACGTTTGTACAAAACATAACAAACTTGTGTTTTCAGCTGTGTTTGCTCTGCTGCTCTTCCAATGCGTGCTCCTTCCAACGCCGCACACAAACTTACACACTACTAACTTCCAGCTAGCCCATCCGTGTTCACGCAGCACCACAGTGGAAGCAAAGCAGAGCAAACAAAGCCAAAACACAATTTTGTTCTGTTTTTCAAAACATCTAGGAATGTGTAAGCTGCAGGACACTTGGATTACTTCAGATGAGCAATATGGAGACATTTTTTGGATGTTTGAAGCCAAGTTGCCGTTCAATGCAGTTTTGTGAGAAACAAACATCTCGGCAAACTCCCAGAAGACCATGATGAGTCCTTCTATCGGCATCGGGGTGAGTAGACGATGACAGAAATTTCATCTTAGGGTGGCTAAAATGGGTTTGAGGTAGCTTGTTAAAGGCACAAGGACAAGTTCAGGAACTGTTTGCATAGAGCATACGTAGCCTATCGTTTGGAGAGGCTTTTTAACCTTAAACTCTGGAAAACATTTGACATGCTGGTGCATCTTAAAAGACATGCTTACTATTCCTTTTTATCTTAAAGAACAGTGTTTTGCTCTGAGGTTCTAAACGTCTGTTTCTGTATCATGAGTAATATCCTACAAAAAGCAGAGCATCTTGACACTAAAAAGTGCGATATTTGGCCCCTCGCTCTTTTCATGCCCACACTCACATCCGTGACCCATTAAAAATGGCCCCACGAGCCACCAGTTGAGAACCTCTGGTTTAACTTGAAAATGCTGATCTAACTTCTTTTCTTTTGTCCCCAAAACGTAGCCACTCCACATGGCCACATACAGTATTTAATACAGTGCAACAAGTTCAAATAAAAATGACATCATTAAAACGAGAGAAAAATAAGAAAATAGACAAATAGCCACATTAACAACTGTGCCGTATACATGTGCACTCAGACTCAAGTTTGTTTCGCAGAGACAGGATTTTCGGGGACAGCTTAAGGACATCAAGCTCTAGAAGAAGCTTTTGAAAAACTTCAAAAGTGTACTTTGTTTTTGGGGGGTAACTCAAATTCATGGCATAAATGATGCTCATGAGCAGGAGACAGGCCTTTGTAACACTTCCATAGTTGTCAAGTACCTCAGTCCCTTCAATAACAATGGACACATCAGTGTCGGATGCACCTTCATCTTCTTCACTTGTGTGGAAGACACAGATCCTCAGGACTTGCTCAGCCTGGTCCTCTTGAACTTCCTCTCTGCTTATATCCTGTAAAATATATGTGAATCCATGTTCAGGTGCATAGTACATATTCTGCTTCATTTTCATTTGGAATAGTATGTATATTCTGTGATGATGGTAAACCTCTTACAACTTATGAATTGCAAAGCACTACACAATTTTGTTTTTACCTGAATAGCCAGATGGCTTTTCTTGTGACACAGCTTGCTGTAGTTGCTGTTTGAGATGGCACTGTGTCAACTGTACAAAGTTGTTGCTTTGGGCTTAAGGACAAAAACACAAAGACAAAATAATACATTAAAACTACAGAATACTACAAGAAATACTACATTAAAACTAGAGGATCATGTAACCAAAATGAACTGTACCACTGTCAAACCAATGTATTTTGGATAATATTTGAAAATATGGCTCTGATCTAAAACATTACACCCATTTCCACATGTGTTAAATCTTAAATGAAGAAAATCCTGCATTTTTGCCGCTGTGATTCTGTTCCTCTCCTCCAAGAGCATTGCTGGTCTAGATTCACGTTGTTGAGAGAGAGCTGTGTCATATGCATCAAGAATAATGCAGAATCCAAATTGAAACAGTGTAAACGGAATCAGAATAGAGAACAATGAGGCTTCATATCAAATTATGAGCAAAATATAGACGAGGGGATTAGAAAGAAAGGGATCCAAACAAGGTGATGGTCCTTATGAAGCATGTGGAAGAAAATGATCACAGGAAATGTTTTTGGATAGATCATTTGAATTTTTTCCAATTTCCACAAATGAATCTGAATTTCAGATACTTAAGGCTCATCAGTAGCTCTATAACAACTCAAAAAGATGGAAAGTGCATCATTTCTACAAGTGGTGGTTCTTTTAGTTGAAATAAGACACATAAAGTATTTTCATATATGGAATAAAAATATACAGCCACAGTAAGAAACAAATCTGAAATGCCAATAAATGAAATCATATTTATCCTGATAAACTGAGTGACATTTTGTGGGAATGAACATCTCTCCTGACCTCTGTTTGCTCTGTCTCAGTAAGATTTTAGATTTGTGGCAAACTACGAGTACACTGCAAATGAACAAAAACCATAGCTTCCTCTTTAGCTTAAATAATGATTAGCAGCAGGGTTTTGGTGAGGTCTGGTAGAGGCTCTCCAAACCGACGCTGCGGATATTTGAAACGTTTTCTCTCCTCCCTTCCCCTCCTATGTGTAGCGGTTGTGTACTCTGTCGTTGCCTTGAGTTCATTATGCGAAGGAAACTCATCATTTTGGCAAACCCGCCATTTATCCACAGCATCTAGCGAACTATTAATTATACAGTCAGTCCCGGTTTCAAAACACTATTACAAACACTATTAAAACTTACTTGGTATTTCTAAGTTCATGGGCAATGACTATGAAACCTTTGAATATTATGTGAAAATACACAATAAAACTTACTCTTCCCACACAGTTTATTTATTACATGAAAGACATATATAGTTTTACTTGAATAATTCCAGTTCTCACTGATACTTACAATTAGAAAATAACAATTGTGACAGTTAACCTAATAAATATTACTACACCAAAAAATGTATGGCTGAACAGACACAGGAAGGAGCGCCACCTAAACACACTCAAACATTTACAGGACAACTAATGAGAAGATGTCAAAGTACCGCCCACAATGTTTGATTGACAGCTGATCTCTGTGCAGTGAAGAAACGCCACAACAATCAGCTCTCAGCAACAAACATGAAGACAAAATCAGTTTAAGGATTCAAACTCAGAGTTTAACACAAAGTCCCTGAAATGACTTCTGTCTATTTCAGTTTATAGAACTCAGCAGTGGATTCAAGATAAAGACAAAGTCCAGCATAGAGAGACTGAGTGAATGTGGTCTGGACTCTGTGGAGGAGAGTCATGGTTTCAGAGACGCTGTAGAAGGACAGAATACCTGCACTGTGATCCAGATACACTCCAACTCTGGAGGACTGAGGACCTGAGACAGGAGTTTGGACATTGTTGTAATAAAAGTTATAACTGTTATTGTAATAATATAATGACCAAGATTTGTTATTGTGTCCAAAAAAACATTCATTCCAGCTCCCTGCTCTGCTGATATTCTTGTATGCGACTGCTACACCAACTCCTCCCCCTCTCCACTCCACCTCCCAGTAACAACGTCCAGTCAGACTCTCTCTACTCAGGACCTGAACACATCCAGTGAATCTGTCAGGGTGACTAGAATAAGACTGATGTTGACTCATGAATGTTACTTTTCTGTTCCCCTTAGATAATAACAGCTGTGTGTTTGCTGTGTTTGGATCCAGTGTGAGTTCACGTGAATATTGTAAGAATCCAGCTCTGGTCTTGGGCTCTGGTTGTGACAGTAAAACATCCACTTCAGTCACTGTCAGTGAGACGTTTGTCCATTTGTCCCTCAGAAGGTCCTGTAGTTTATCTCTGAGCTCTGACACAGCCGCTGTCACATCCTCAAAGTACCTCAGAGGACGGATATTGATGCTGGATGTAGATTCACTGAGTGCTGACAGTGAGGGGTAGTTGTGTAGAAACTGGGTGTGGTCCTCTGTGTGTGACAGCTTCTTCATCTCAGCGTCTTTCCTCTTCAGCTCAGTGATCTCCTGCTCCAGCTTCTCCTGAAGCTCTTTGACTCGACTCACTTCAGTTTCCTGCTGGGATCTGACCTGCTGCTTCACATCAGAGCTTCTTTTCTCCATGAGACGGATCAGCTGAGTGAAGATCTTCTCACTGTCCTCCACTGCTTTATCAGCAGAGCGATTGATAGCCTCCACCTCCCGTTGAAGCTCCTTCACATCTTTCTCTCTGTCCTGGATTCTCTGCTGGATGTTTTGTCGACTCACCTCGAGCTCTCTCTGCCTCTCAGTCCTTTCTGCTGCAGCTGAGACTGTGTCGTGGCCTTTATGTTCATCCACAGGGCAGAGATAACAGATACACTGCTGATCAGTACGGCAGAACATCTTCATCACCTCATCATGACGAGAGCAGATGTTCTCCTGGAGCTTCTTGGAGGGGTCCACCAGCTTGTGTTTCTTAAACTGAGCCACATCATAATGAAGCTGGAGGTGTTTCTCACAGTAAGAAACCAGACAGACCAGACAGGACTTGAGGGCTTTCAGTTTTCTCCCAGTGCAGACATCACAGGCCACATCTTCAGGTCCAGCATAGCAGAGATCAGCAAGAGCAGCTTGGAGTCCAGTCTTCTTCAGTTCCTCCACTAAAGCTGCTAACATGGTGTTTTTTACCAGGACAGGCCTCGGTGTGAAGGTCTGCCTACACTGAGGGCAGCTGTGGATTTTCTTCTCATCCTCTCCATCCCAGTAGCTTTTAATACAGTTCATGCAGTAGCTGTGTCCACAGGGAGTAGTCACCGGATCCTTCAGTAGATCCAGACAGATGGAACAAGAGAAGGTTTCTCGGTCCAGCTGAACTCCTTTCTGCGCCATTTCACCTCTCAGTGACAACGACTGTCTGAGTTTCACTTCCTTATAAATGAGGCCGGGTTGAGCTCTGATCTCAACAACATGTGTCTCTGCAGTGAATGGGGCCTGTCAGCTCTTGCTCATGTTGGTTACACCCATCTACAAACTGTAGATCTGAAGGGGAGGGAACAAGGAAATACATGAACAGAGTGTAGCTCGCTGTGTTTGAATCAGGAAGAAGAGGGAGGGGTTATCGAGGGTTTAAAGTTCTGTTTTATTGTCATTATACAACACAGGATTGCACAATAACATGCAGTTGTAGTCCTCTCCACTCACACACTGAAAATGTCAAATTCAAATGGATAAAAACTGACTGGAAAGGAGTAAAAGATTCACTGTGTCTAACTTCTCTTCCTGTACAAAGAGGAAAAACAGCTCAAGATGGCAACATGAAGAAAAACATCCAAAAGTTACTCACTGATTATTAAATCATAAAACAACTATCAAAATGTTACAGGCCTCAAGCATGAGTTACCCGTAAGCAGGTATAGTATCCTGTTTTGTGCAGGAAAAGCAGAGACAGGAGACGTTACTTGTGATCGCTCAGCAGGCTGTTCTCTGTTTTTATTTAACAGAATCTTTCTTTTTCACTTCATTTAAACCAACTTAGTGTTTTGTTCACAACAATCTTCATTTTGCAATTTACATGACATCAAGCTTTAAGGTTCATATACTAACCCACTGGACTGACATTTTACAAATGTACAAAATGACTGCTGAATGAAACAGAAATCAAATTCAAACTCCTAATTTGTACCATTGTTCACCAACAGTGACTGCTATTTAGGTCCAACACCACATTTACAGTAGCATTAATACTTTTAAGCCCAAGCTGTTCACATTTTTACTAAATTCTTAAACACAAAGTATACATAACAATAACAGGCCATCATTACAAAAATACCTTTGCCCTTTTTAACTTTACCAAAATATTTGATCTATATATTATTATTATTATTATTATTATTATTATTATTATTATTATTATTATATTATCCTGGTAACATGACTTAGATGAACGACTTAACAACTTTACACAACCGTACTTCACAAAGCTTTGACAAAACAAATACAAGACAGAGGGTATGTCAAGGAGCAGGGACCAGAAATAAAAGAAGTATTAAGAGGAGCGAGCAAGATTTCATTGCAGGAAAACTCAGTTTCTTAGCTGAGCAAACTACTGTTTTACACATCAAACATTGTCAAAACAACATAATGAAGTCCTTGTAAAAAAAAGTCCTTATAAATGCTTTGTGACAAGATATGACACACTACTAACCTGTTTTGTGCAGGAGAAGCCTCACGCAGCCCTACTAGCGCTCACCAAAGTGGACACTCCCTCTTGTGGCACAACTGGGAAATTGCACTTTTAAAACTACTACTCCCATGTCTTGTAAAGATTCATTAACATTTGACCTTTTTCACTGGCTAATACACAAAACATTTTAACAGTTGTGACTATACATTTGTAGGCGTCACAGAAACATTTTGAATGAATTTAAAGGAGTAAATATGTTGATTACACCAGAATACAATGAAAACAATACAATTAATGTTACATAATTACATTCATCCTGAGTTTTATATCGGAGGTGAGAAGATATTAAAGTCTGTTATTTACTAATTATAATAATAATAATATATAATAATTAAAGAAAATGTAAAGAACAAGATATTAGAATCAGAGTGAGTTTTATTATAAGAAGGTTTTCAATACAAGGAATTTGCCTTGTTATCTTTGTACATAATAAACATAAAGTGCTAAAAACTATAAATAAAGGAAACAAGGACTTCAAATCAAAAAGCACAAAAATAAAAATATTATAAAGAGAAAAATAAACAATATGTACAATAAGACTGTTATATATATTTTTATTTTAGCTCTTTGGTTGTTTGAACTTCTTTAATGCAGGACGAGGCTGTTTATCAGAGGTTCTGTGAATATAGTTTGTGTTCAGGTCTTCAAAGTCAAATTAAACAAAAATGCTGAGATATGTCTACTGTATTTATTTTCTAAAGTTTTCTATCACCCCATAAAACCAAGAAGGCCTCCCGACCTACTAAATAACTAAAGAATACATAATACAGACAGAGAATTGTATAAAAAGTTCCCTAAAATATCAGGAAAACTGATCTCTGATCAATATTCAAAGGAAATAATCTGCTCAAACTTCATCCAAATCTCTGGTTTTACACAAACTTGCTGCAGTTATTGTGTTCACTGTTTGGGTTCATTGTTCAGTTTATCAGCTGTTCTCTGCTGTTATTGTTATAATTCAATATAATATGAAATATGTGTAACATATAGTTTACTCAGTGATAGAAAAGGTGTCCCTGAAGGATAAAGGCTGGGAGCCAGTGCCTTAGAGGAATGGAAACAACGAATCATTGTGAACTGAATGAACCTGTGTCTGCTGCTTATTGAACAATATGGATACAGGAAAGTGCAGTCCTCCATATATTCACATGTCAGTGTGACACCCGGCTCCTGAGCTGTGACAATAAATGGGAGATAAACGGTTTGAAGTCAAAGATGAACGAGTTTATTACTAAAATATAATGCAAGTGCAATCCCACAGTGGAATGATGAGGTGTGTTGGTCAGTGGTATCAGTGTGTCAGCACATAAATGAGGGCGTTGTGAGGTGCAGAAACTGAACTAATGACACGGCCGAAGCCAACCAAACAGGAACATGGCTGGAGGAACGAGGGGTCCAGATCTTCAGAGCCCTTGGGAGACTGGCCAGGTGGTCCCAGTGCGCCGATGAACTCACACACACACATACACACACACACACACACACACACACACACACACACACACACAGAGCAGGCCCTGCCGTCACACCCCCTCCATAGGAACCAGACTTCCCCTCTACAATATGAGAAAATAATACACAATAAACTATATCAGGTTGTGACTTTAACTAGTGATCCAGTTCACTAGAATATTCACTTCAAATGTGTCTTCTGTTCATTTTAAACAACATCAGTAAACATCCCAGTTTGTCACAGAACAAAAGCAACTGAGCTGATGCTCGCCACCCGCCTCCTCTTCAGATCATCCATGCCCCCTCCCCCCTTCAGCAACCTGGTACCCAGAGCCAGTCCTGACCTCCCTGGGGCCTTCAGCAAACCTCTGCTAAGGGGCCCTCCTACCTGAGCCATAAGCCATGTAAACCATTTGCCACACAGTCACACCCACTGACAGCCCAGTGCTCCCACTGTCAGGTGGCCCTCACTCTTGTGAGGTTTCACCTGCAGCTCCCCCCACTTGAAAAGGCAGCTTGCTTCAGAAGATTGGACTGGAATTCACTCAATGACCAAGATTCAGCTTTCTTTCTTTTCTTTCTTTTATTTTGAAAGTTTCCGAGGCCAATAACAGGTGAAAAACCTTCAAATACAAACACAAATAGACCTTTAAGAAAATGTAACCCAGAAACCATAATCAATCACCATAACCCAAACTCAAAGACTTCATTTAAACTACTAGAAATTAATCTAGAAAATCAGTAGAAAATACCAACATTTAAAGCACCAAACTAAATTAAATCCATTTTAAAGCACTGTTCAATGATGATTTTAACCCAACGATCTGTAGCAGCTTTCACCTCTTTTAAATAAACATAAATCATCAAATCAAATGACTTTTAGCTTGAATCCTTTTTAAAATACACATTTCTTAACTGTACTTTTAACCCACATGATATTAAATATATCACATTTTAACCTGAATTTGATCACATGATTTCCCAAATGCTCAAGTCTACATCAGTCTACAGTTCACAACAACTCCAATGAAAGCTACGAAAACAGATGACATCAATGAAAGCTCCCCGGCTCCTTCTTCCTTGTTTGAAACAAGCTTTAGTCCTGCAGTCTCATTTACCCAAGTCCAGTCTCTCCAACCATTTCTTCCACACACTGCTTCCTCTCACCATCCTGTGAGTGAGTGCCTCCAAACTCCCCCGATCACCAAATCATCTCCACCTGGTGCACTCAGTCTGCTGCCTTCAGGCTGGGAGACACACCCACACCTGATGCACTCAGGCAGGGAGGGGCGCGGCCTGCAGCTCAACTCAACACCCACTACAACCCAGTTTGCTCCATCTGTCGGTCGCTGACAATAAGTAGATCTATACAGAACACAATCAGGTACATTCAATATTTACTGAATAGAATATGTTCTATAAAATCTTAATATGAGTCAATATTTACTACAAGAAATTGCAAATTATATTTCTATGAAAAAATCAGAGAATACAACATTTAGCTTTGGCTCTGCTGCCTGTAAATGAGTCCAGTCCTCACAATATTATACAATTAGCTTTGGTTATCCAATGTACCGTAAAACTCCCTCAACCACTGAACGCACCCTGCCTCATCTGTGGATGATCAATATGGAAAATACTATTGTTTATTTAAAGCAGTTTCAATCTTATTTGTAAAAAAAAGAAAAATTAGGATATCAAACAACATATGAATTACTAATCATTCACTTAATCTAGCTCTGAGAGAGACAGCTCATCTAGACCAACCTAGAGAGAGAGAGAGAGAGAGAGAGAGAGAATATGCAGCTGACCTTAGAAAGAATGAAAGCTGAAGGTTTTACCATAGTTGTGGTATTTCAGGTTTTATTTGCACAGGTTTCAACAAATCAGGTAGACCACAATGCCCTTTAAATGAAAGGGATGTTGCCCCTTTAACAACAATATGCTCCAATCTTTAGGTTCTGTATTTGCACTGTTTAACAAACTTCATAGCCTACCTAAAAAATATGGGAACTAAAAGAACATAAAGTCTATTGGTATGTGAGGCAGATATCATAATATAGTAACACTGTAGACCAAAGGCTGATCAATAATAGCCAAATCCTGGCTACATGCTCATTCAGAACACATCAACATTAAAAAACACTAATAAAGGCTACGATGTACTGTGTGACCAAGTTTAAATGTCCTCATCATCGTCATCCTCAGCTACCAGTTCGTTGTTAAACTCTTCCTCTTCCTCTTCCTCCCTGTCCTGCCTGAGAGAACAGCTCTCGCCCTGATGCGCATGGCTCTCTCTCTTTGAAACAGTGGATCAGGTGGTCCTCGCTACCGTCAGCAGCCACTGTCAAGCCACACACCTTAAAGGACAATATTCCGTTAATAATCTTACTAGCACACACACACACACACACACACACACACACACACACCTTGAAGGAGTTCTTCACCAGCTCCGCGTCCAGCTCGTCCCACGCTTTAAGGAGCCAGGCTACGAGTAAGCGGCGAGCTGGGGCTCTCATATTCCCGCCTCCCCTGCCATCCAGTTGTCATACGATTCATGCAGACTGGCTTTGAACGGTTGATTCCACATGACATCAGGGGCCTGGATGTATTTGGTACAACCTCCAGGTATGACAGCCATGGTTACGTTGTAGCCCCCGCTTGAGCTCCACTTTGGTGGCAGCGCTGATGTGACATCGGTAAGAATCCCAGGCTCGCAGACGAGGACCGAAGTTTAGTTTCCCGCCACTTTTCTCAGCCAGTCTGCAGTCAAATCCTCCTTCATCCAGCCATTAGTGGAGGATGCTACCACCACTCCACTGATGGTTTGCATTGCCTTGACTTCCCTGACTCTCCCTTTGAAAAACCACATAAGGTTTCAGTTTTGTCCACCACGGTCAAGTGACTCTTCTCGTGGCCCGTAGTTTTAAGTGGAACACTGCGTACCTCTCGTATCCACCGTAGTCGAGGCAACCATATCAAACCAGACCAGATGTTCTTCACCTGTTTCTTCCTTTTCTCAATCAAACGCGTCGTGAATGGGACAAAATCCAGCAGCTTCCCGGTGAAGTGCCTGGCGTCTTTCTGAGCAACAGTTGTAGTCTGTAAGTTATTGCGGTGGAGGAATTTATCAAGCCAGCCAGCACTCGCAGCAAAGACGTCCACACCAGTGCAGTCACTCACCGTGGCGTGGATTTCTTTAGCCTTCTTCCTGGTCATCTTGCGGGAAACTCTGAGGTGTCGTGCCCGCATGCTGTGGATCCACTCACACACTTGTAGCTCCAGCTCTTCACTAGACTTCTTCCTCCCTCCACCGCGCAGTCTCGCCCTTTTACTGTCTTCCTCCGACAGACGTTGAAGTTCAGCTTTATTTTGTTCGGCAAATTTGACAACGGACAGCTTGAATTTCAGGTCGTACTTTTTTCTCGCTGCTGTAAAACGACGTTTTTGGGAATCAGCCTTTTTTTCTGTCTCTCTTGTTTACCATGTTACCGGTAAGTCTGAATGAATTATGCGTTGGTGTTCATAGTTTCTGTAAAATGAAGTGAGCATAGTGAGCATATAGGGCCGACTGGCTCTGCTGGTACCAGCGTGGGACTGCGGTCAAGCCCTAATATCGAGTATCTTTACTGCGCCAGTGTGGAGAAATGCCAAAATAAAAGTCCCATTTTTATGCCTCCAGAGATTGCATATTTGACCATATTTGAGCTACTGTAAAAACATATTGCTCAATAATTCCTGGCTAAGGATGGTATATCTGACCTCTGCACATCTAAGACTACACACACACTCAATACCAAGCATTTTTACTGCAGAAATTTGGAGAAATTTTACAATAAAAGTCCATATTTGTACCTCCAAGTGGCATATTTGACCATATTTGAGCTACTGTAAAAACATATTGCTCAATATTTCCTGGCTATGGATGGTATATTTGACTTTTACACATTTGAGACTACAGACTGACTTGTTTCCTATAGCTTTCCTTAATCACATGTCTTCCTTGTGTCCCCTCTCAGCAAGTATTTGAGAGACAAATATGAGGAAGAGACAGTAGGTACAATGCACTCAGTAAGCATGTGTGAATAAAGAATCATCAGATACTTAAGGCTCATCAGTAGCTCTATAACAACTCAAAAAGATGGAAAGTGCATCATTTCTACAAGTGGTGGTTCTTTTAGTTGAAATAAGACACATAAAGTATTTTCATATATGGAATAAAAATATACAGCCACAGTAAGAAACAAATCTGAAATGCCAATAAATGAAATCATATTTATCCTGATAAACTGAGTGACATTTTGTGGGAATGAACATCTCTCCTGACCTCTGTTTGCTCTGTCTCAGTAAGATTTTAGATTTGTGGCAAACTACGAGTACACTGCAAATGAACAAAAACCATAGCTTCCTCTTTAGCTTAAATAATGATTAGCAGCAGGGTTTTGGTGAGGTCTGGTAGAGGCTCTCCAAACCGACGCTGCGGATATTTGAAACGTTTTCTCTCCTCCCTTCCCCTCCTATGTGTAGCGGTTGTGTACTCTGTCGTTGCCTTGAGTTCATTATGCGAAGGAAACTCGTCATTTTGGCAAACCCGCCATTTATCCACAGCATCTAGCGAACTATTAATTATACAGTCAGTCCCGGTTTCAAAACACTATTACAAACACTATTAAAACTTACTTGGTATTTCTAAGTTCATGGGCAATGACTATGAAACCTTTGAATATTATGTGAAAATACACAATAAAACTTACTCTTCCCACACAGTTTATTTATTACATGAAAGACATATATAGTTTTACTTGAATAATTCCAGTTCTCACTGATACTTACAATTAGAAAATAACAATTGTGACAGTTAACCTAATAAATATTACTACACCAAAAAATGTATGGCTGAACAGACACAGGAAGGAGCGCCACCTAAACACACTCAAACATTTACAGGACAACTAATGAGAAGATGTCAAAGTACCGCCCACAATGTTTGATTGACAGCTGATCTCTGTGCAGTGAAGAAACGCCACAACAATCAGCTCTCAGCAACAAACATGAAGACAAAATCAGTTTAAGGATTCAAACTCAGAGTTTAACACAAAGTCCCTGAAATGACTTCTGTCTATTTCAGTTTATGGAACTCAGCAGTGTCTCCAACAGACCAGAACGATAAACGAAGTCCAGCATAGAGAGACTGAGTGAATGTGGTCTGGACTCTGTGGAGGAGAGTCATGGTTTCAGAGACGCTGTAGAAGGACAGAATACCTGCACTGTGATCCAGATACACTCCAACTCTGGAGGACTGAGGACCTGAGACAGGAGTTTTGACATTGTTGTACCTAAAGTTATAACTGTTATTGTCACAATATAATGACCAAGATTTGTTATTGAATCCAAATACACATTCATTCGAGATCCCTGCTCTGCTGATATTCTTGTATGCGACTGCTACATAAACTCTCCCTCTCCTCTCCACCTCCCAGTAACAACGTCCAGTCAGACTCTCTCTACTCAGGACCTGATACCTTTTAGTGAATCTGTCTGGGTGACTAGAATAAGACTGTTGTTGACTCATGTATGTTACTTTTCTGTTCCCCTCAGATAATAACAGCTGTGTGTTTGCTGTGTTTGGATCCAGTGTGAGTTCACGTGAATATTGTAAGAATCCAGCTCTGGTCTTGGGCTCTGGTTGTGACAGTAAAACATCCACTTCAGTCACTGTCAGTGAGACGTTTGTCCATTTGTCCCTCAGAACGTCCTGTAGTTTATCTCTGAGCTCTGACACAGCCGCTGTCACATCCTCAAAGTACCTCAGAGGACGGATATTGATGCTGGATGTAGATTCACTGAGTGCTGACAGTGAGGGGTAGTTGTGTAGAAACTGGGTGTGGTCCTCTGTGTGTGACAGCTTCTTCATCTCAGCGTCTTTCCTCTTCAGCTCAGTGATCTCCTGCTCCAGCTTCTCCTGAAGCTCTTTGACTCGACTCACTTCAGTTTCCTGCTGGGATCTGACCTGCTGCTTCACATCAGAGCTTCTTTTCTCCATGAGACGGATCAGCTGAGTGAAGATCTTCTCACTGTCCTCCACTGCTTTATCAGCAGAGCGATTGATAGCCTCCACCTGCCGTTGAAGCTCCTTCACATCTTTCTCTCTGTCCTGGATTCTCTGCTGGATGTTTTGTCGACTCACCTCGAGCTCTCTCTGCCTCTCAGTCCTTTCTGCTGCAGCTGAGACTGTGTCGTGGCCTTTATGTTCATCCATGGAGCACAAAATACAGATGGTCTGCTGATCAGTGCGGCAGAAGATCTTCATCACCTCATCATGACGAGAGCAGATGTTCTCCTGGAGCTTCTTGGAGGGGTCCACCAGCTTGTGTTTCTTAAAGGTAAGTGAGTCAAAGTGAGGCTGGAGGTGTTTCTCACAGTAAGATGCCAGACAGAACAGACAGGACTTGAGGGCTTTCAGTTTTCTCCCAGTGCAGACATCACAGGCCACATCTTCAGGTCCAGCATAGCAGAGATCAGCAGGAGCAGCTTGGAGTCCAGTCTTCTTCAGTTCCTCCACTAAAACTGCTAACATGGTGTTTTTTACCAGGACAGGCCTCGGTGTGAAGGTCTGCCTACACTGAGGGCAGCTGTGGATTTTCTTCTCATCCTCTTCATCCCAGTAGCTTTTAATACAGTTCATGCAGTAGCTGTGTCCACAGGGAGTAGTCACCGGATCCTTCAGTAGATCCAGACAGATGGAACAAGAGAAGGTTTCTCGGTCCAGCTGAACTCCTTTCTGCGCCATTTCACCTCTCAGTGACAACGACTGTCTGAGTTTCACTTCCTTATAAATGAGGCCGGGTTGAGCTCTGATCTCAACAACATGTGTCTCTGCAGTGAATGGGGCCTGTCAGCTCTTGCTCATGTTGGTTACACCCATCTACAAACTGTAGATCTGAAGGGGAGGGAACAAGGAAATACATGAACAGAGTGTAGCTCGCTGTGTTTGAATCAGGAAGAAGAGGGAGGGGTTATCGAGGGTTTAAAGTTCTGTTTTATTGTCATTATACAACACAGGATTGCACAATAACATGCAGTTGTAGTCCTCTCCACTCACACACTGAAAATGTCAAATTCAAATGGATAAAAACTGACTGGAAAGGAGTAAAAGATTCACTGTGTCTAACTTCTCTTCCTGTACAAAGAGGAAAAACAGCTCAAGATGGCAACATGAAGAAAAACATCCAAAAGTTACTCACTGATTATTAAATCATAAAACAACTATCAAAATGTTACAGGCCTCAAGCATGAGTTACCCGTAAGCAGGTATAGTATCCTGTTTTGTGCAGGAAAAGCAGAGACAGGAGACGTTACTTGTGATCGCTCAGCAGGCTGTTCTCTGTTTTTATTTAACAGAATCTTTCTTTTTCACTTCATTTAAACCAACTTAGTGTTTTGTTCACAACAATCTTCATTTTGCAATTTACATGACATCAAGCTTTAAGGTTCATATACTAACCCACTGGACTGACATTTTACAAATGTACAAAATGACTGCTGAATGAAACAGAAATCAAATTCAAACTCCTAATTTGTACCATTGTTCACCAACAGTGACTGCTATTTAGGTCCAACACCACATTTACAGTAGCATTAATACTTTTAAGCCCAAGCTGTTCACATTTTTACTAAATTCTTAAACACAAAGTATACATAACAATAACAGGCCATCATTACAAAAATACCTTAATGCCCTTTTTAACTTTACCAAAATATTTGATCTATATATTATTATTATTATTATTATTATTATTATTATTATTATTATTATATTATCCTGGTAACATGACTTAGATGAACGACTTAACAACTTTACACAACTTGTGCAGGGGCGGATCTACCGGGGTGGCATAGGGTGGCAAGTGCCACCCTAAAAGAAAGCCTTGCCACCCCTGCTGCCACCCCAGTTGGCAGCAACGAATTAAAAGAAAAGTTACGGCATTTGACATTTACGAGCGTGAATCTCCAATGTCCGACTGCACTGAATGCAGCACGAGATAACGTCAGAGCGGCCGGCAAGACACTGATTGGTTGGAAACACTGAGTGGCGCGAAGCGAGGGAGCCAGGAGTCGCGAGGACAGGAGAGACGGGAGGAAAGAGGTAAAAACTTATTAACTATCGATCAATAAATTGAATTATAATGAAAGCACAGTGCGAGCATACACTGTAACACATTGACTGTAGAATTTACAGTAAATAGCTGGCAGAAAAAGTTGCCAGTAAAGTAAAATTGCTGTTAATTACTGTAAAAAGGATTACAGTATATTACAGGATCACTTTTACAGGTTTTTGTTGAATATAAATTACAGCAATTTGTTGTTGTTGTTGGTTTTTTTCTTGGAAAAATCTAGTTTACAACATTATCTTGTATTCTATTCAAATTACAGAGGTTACCTGGCAACTAAAGTTGCCAGTAAATAGCTGTTAATACTTCACAATACAATATGTTGTTGTAGAATGTTTTTACTGTTCATTTTTCTTTTTCACATTAGCAGCTTTGCAAAATATGCATATTGAATGAGACCAGGCTTGCTGTTACTCCAAAATTCATCAACATTAGATTTTCTTCACCTGTTAAATAAAACCAGAGTCAGAGCTGCAACAAAACATCTTTTATTAAAACTCAATAGTTTTACAACATGCCTTCAGAACTCAATTGGAATCCCCATAAATGGTATGGTATTCATTTCTCAATTATTATTGAGAAATGAATAGCACTCTCCTATCTGCCTGTTAAATATAAGGCTTCAGACAGAAACTGGTTAGCCTAATTAAGCACAGACTGGAAACGGGGAAACAGCTAGCCTGGCTTGGTCCAAAAGTAACAAAATCTGCCTACTAGCACCTTTAAATCTCACTTTTAACCTTTTTACTGTGCGTTATGTGCCTTTAATGGACGTGGTATCGATCTTCTCATCTAACTGTCCACCAGATAGCGAATAGGTCAGCTTTGCACTGCAGTGAACGGAGTCCAGATGCAAAGCATATTTTAACCAGCTAAAACAATCTATATCAGTTCTAGTGTACGTTGTATAGAGAAAATTCACACCGCTTTACATCGCTGTCAGACGGCCCTTATACCGTATAACTCACGTATTCCTTCGCATAAGCGCAACTTTGCCCGCTGCGGCCGCACCGTATTATGCCGTATGCGTAGGAATACGTGATGGGAATTCGGCTCTTTTTAGAGAACCGGTTCTTTTGGCTCGGCTCACTAAAATGAGCCGGCTCTTTCGGCTCCCAAGTGGCTCCTCAGATTTTTTGTTACTTAAATGAATTGATTACAAAATGATGTGTAAAATGAATATCTAATGTAAATACATACATTATATCAAATGTTTATTATTTATATGGATTTATTAATATACTCAACATGGAATTTTAAAATACAAAAACAAAGACCCATCTCAATTAGACAAAAAGCTGCTCAATATGACATTTTTAACTATGCAGTCTACACTCTGCCTTTGAAGCGTCTATCACATATATACATATATGTCCAAACTTTACTACATTTTCTGTCATTCTCATTTTCCTCACCTTTCCAGTGTGTAGTCTCTGTCTATGTAGCAAGTTCTCTCGCTCTGTCACGTCTCCCTCCCACCTGTTCACATGCTCACTGTGCCGTGTGTATCTGTAACCCCTCCCGCCACCCTCCTGCTCCTCAGTGTAGATACACAGACGCCGCCACACATCTTGACCAATCACGCAGCTTTAACAGAAAAAAATGAGGAAAAACGGGGAAAAAATCCGGATCTGGCTCCCAATCAGGAGCCGGCTCCCGTCGTTCACTTCAAAGAGCCGGATCGTTCGGGACCGACCCATCACTAGTAGGAATACGTGAGTTATACGGTTGAGAAATGTAGTGCCAAAGGAAAGGGCCGTCTGACGGAGATGTAAAGCGGTGTGAATTTTCTCTATACAACGTACACTAGAACTGATATAGATTGTTTTAGGTGGTTAAAATTCGCTTTGCATCTGGACTCTGTTCACTGCAGTGCAAAGCTGAGCGTCTGTGCTGGAGCAGCTCTCTGCTTCTCCAAACTGAGGGATCGCTGAGCAGCAGCTAATGTAGCTAACACACCGACTATAGATAAGTACTTCATATGAGCCCAGTTCAAAAAACCCAAACTATCCCTTTAACTCTATCTATCCGAGTTAGGGATATAATGTGAAAAACGCCTGCTGTTGTTGCCGATGTTCACCATATCTCTGGGGCTGGTGCTGGAAGAACAACAGATTTTGCAGCTGCGCCGGCTAAATCCATTATTCACACTATATCCCTAACTCGGATAGATAGAGATATGGTTGAAAATCTGCAAAATGTCCCTTTAAGAACAATGTCCACTCATATAGTGGGGAAGACAGGAATCCTCATCTTTTGCATATGACTTACGCTCAAAGCCATTCAAAGTCCATGAATGGCCTGAGGAGAGAGGAGACGTGAGGATTGACTGAGCTGTTCTTCTTCTCATGTATCTTCCCACTTCTTTGGCTGACCAGCTTTGCTGTCTTGGTGCCACTGATGGGGTTGAGTCCAATGAAACATCTGAAATCACAAAATCACATGAAAAGAAACTTCATGAAAAAACTGCGCTCACAGCTGCTCCACAAGAAAGAGCAGAATATCACGTTGTTCAAGACAAGCTCATCATTTGCCCATCCAATATGAAAAACTGCAAAACATGAAAAAACTAAAATTAGGCTGTTAATCATTTTTCATTATCATTTCAGTTGTGCTGTCCAGGCAAGCTGAACCAGGAAGTGGCTCTACAATGCAATGACTAATACAGTGGAAATGTCATAACGGTTAAAGGGATAGTTTGGAGTTCTTGTCAAAAGATTGTATGAGTTACTGACCAGTAGTAATATAATTGCATCAACATAGCCTCAGGCAGCAGGTACTCTGGTTGGAGATTTCCCGACTGCTTGCTCCTTGTACACCAGATTCAGATTCACTTTGCTAAAATAATGGGTAATTACAGTCAATAACACAAATAAAACATTGTTCTCACCACAGAGCTGACTTCGTGGCCGGTGTTTCTGACATCAACTGTGCACGTGCTCCTCTTTCAATTTAATGCAATCCCATATCAACAGTATTTAACTGTAATACGCATCATCTACAGTCAGAATACAGCTCGCCTGTCATTTTACAATATGTTACTGTGGGAAAATGCTGTCAGCTACTGTCATTATTTTGGACCCATGATGCATTGCCATGTACAGTTATACTTTGTAAAATGACAGAACAAGAAGTTACTGTAAAATTTGACTGTAGAAATTACAACAATGTGTTACAGTGTAGTTGCAATGCTGATTTTGAGATGATAAAAATCAGGTTGAAGAACGTTATTTCGCTAACTGTACATGTAATGTTAGCTAGGTCTGACGTTAGTTCTGTGTAAAATAGGCTACAAAAGCTAATATTGATTCAACGTCTGTCAACGAAAACATTGTTAAGTTACTTTGAATTTTACAGAAATGAAGAGGAAAGGTAGCATAGAAAGGTTTTTCTCACCAAGTACTAGACAGAAAAAAGGGGGAAAAGGGAGAGTCCTACCACTCTAATGGAGTTCACTCAGTTTTTGAAACCATACGAGGATGTTTTTTATGAGTTGTTCAGCTTGTGTAAAATAGCGGTTGTTTTACCTGTGAGCAGTGCATCCTGTGAACAAAGTTTTTCATCTCTCAGGCTCATAAAGACTTATTTACGGTCTACTATGACAGAAAAGAGACTATCGAGTTTGGCTGTACTCAGCATTGAATCAAAACGCACAAAAGCATTAGATCTAGATACATTTGTGAAGCGGTTTGCTGAGCAACATGGAAATCGCCGCATTCAGCTGTTATAGGAATGA